CCCCCCCCCCCCCCCCTGCCGCTGGCGCGCCTCTGCGCACAGGTAACGCTGGACCGGGGGATCGTGGGCTACCCCGCGCTGATAGGAATGACGGACTTTTCCCACATCTGGCTCGTGTTCGTCTTCCACGACAACACCAACGCCACGGTCAACGGGGTTGCGGAGGAGAGACCGGCGGCGTCCGCAGCGGCGGCGGCGTCCGCAGCGGGGGAGGAAGGGGGGCAGGGTGAACGAAAAGGGGCACCGGCGACGGCGACGGGTTCGACGGAGGGCGTGAGGGTGAAGGGGCAGTTGGAAAGGTGGGGCGGCGGAGCCAGGGAGTACAGGCGGCCGAGGCATAAGCTCAGGCAAACGTTCCTGACCAAAGTTTGGTGAGTGTTTTTCGCAGGGTGGAAAATAGAGAAATAACATGGCGGCTGTTGCTCTGGGAGGTCGGCGGTGGTGAGAGTGGGCCAGGGCTGTTACCGTGAGCCGGGATAGACGTTCCCTCCGGGTGCTTGTCTCACTCCTCGAAATGCCAGGATGCTGCGGTGCCTGATCGTCGAGTATCGTCTCTACGTACACCTTTGCAGCTCTGGAAGTACATACTCTCGCTCATTGGCCAGGTCGTTCGGCGTTCAAACGCGAGGGCATGACCTATACCTCGTGCGCCTCTTACGCCGCTGGTGTGATGACCGAGCGTGATGAACGCTACGCGCGTTCCCTTGGTCGTCCCCATTTCATCCACTTTTCCCTCTATGCGCCGCTTCCTCTCCGCCTCCTTCGTGAACAGCCCTCCTCGCCTGGGCAAGAGGATCGGTGTCCTCGGGACGCGGAGCCCACATCGGCCGAACCCCTTGGGCCTGACGATGGTCAAGGTGAGTGTCTAGCAGCAGCGGCAAGCGGCATGCCTTTGGCATGGCAGTCGCTCGCCCGATGGCGCCATTAAGCGTTTTTTTGTACGAGGGGGGTAGGATGGGGAGGGAAGCGAACACAGGATTGCGCTTCCTTCACTCCTGATCGTGCGCTGAAGCGTTTGACATTGCCTTGTATAGAGAGGTAAAAAACAGCAGTAAGCGAGTACGATAGTGCAAGTCTTCCACTCTTGACCAATAGGCTGAACTATTGTTCGTCAACTTTTCCCCCATTCAAATATTATTTTTATGTACGCCCTGAGATTAGAAGGACAGTTCCCTGGTGTGCGGCGTTGTGGTATTTACGACAGTTACCTGTGACATGCCGACAACAACGTGGACAATCCGGATGCCAACAGAGCGTACAAAAACCGCTAGCCAGACGAAACAGGGTATGGTCCCCAGCCAGCGACAGCATGTCGGCAGGATCGACGAAAGTAGGCACTCCCCCTAGACTTGTTCTGATGCCGTGGCGCCCATGAATGAGTACGACCATTTGCTTGCCCGAAACTATCACGCCAGATGTTTCAATTGCTACAGCTGACGTGCACACGCCTCCCCGAGCGTGTGAGTGTGCCTATCGATGTGGCCGCTGCTTTTGTAGCTTCGACCCCTCAATACTTGGCTGTGTACCGCCACTTTTTTACTATGGATTGCTCGGATATCGTGCATCATCATATCGTCCGACCACTTTGGGAGGGGAGCTTGCTTCCCTTCCCACATCCCACGTTCTGCGTTCCATGTGCGACTATTGCCGTCTTTCATCCCGTGTCGTTTGACGGCTTGCCTTCAACCCCATGTGATCTGTTTATCCCATCGATCTCGTTGCTTTCCTCCTGTCTCCCTCCGCCGACTATGTTGTCTCTCGCAACTGCTCGATCGGCGGTTGTCATTTGTCGGTCAACGGGCCGTTGTCTTTAGCTAGACGGGGTTGACCTGAAGACCAACAGCATCACCGTCAGCGGCATCGACCTGGTCGATGGCACACCGGTACGCCCCTCCCCCCTTAGCTTTGGTTGCTTCGTCTTCTCTCGCATGCCGACCCGAATGACCTCCCTTGTTTTGCAACGGTAATTCGTTCTTCCACCTCTGCTGTATTGTTATCCCCTATGATAGTCTTTTCGATCCTTGAAGTTTGTTTTTTTGTGACGATGCGATCGTGCCGGGGACGATGTAGTACGTTTGGCAAGCTGGGCGTGAGAGAGAGAGTCGTTTCCCTTGCAGTATGCTTGGCAATCCTGACGCCGTTGTCAACCATTCCCACCCTGTCAACCAGCCTTCGTTGTCATCCCTCCCCGATCACATGGAAACCCGGATCCCCCCCCCCCCCCCCCCCCCCCCCCCCCCCCCCCCCCCCCC